AGTCAAAGGCATGCTTAGTCTGCCACAGTTCGTTTAAAAAGTTTGATACTTGGTCTCAGACTGAATGGCTTGCAATGGGTCGACTACAGTACTGACCTAGTGTACTTCCTAGTTTACTCTCTCTCTCTGCAGCTCCACATTTGGTTACTTCACAGCTCATCCAGTGTTCTCCTGTACTCTTGACTTACGTTGTTCCTCTGTTTCCCATTTTAAGACTCAATTCTGGGTCTGACACTTTCACCTCTACACAGTATCCATTTTTATAACCAACACACCCCTCTGGTGGTTTATAATGTGTTATCTTGCAAATTGCATGTAACGTTGGATGTATCTTGTAATTTTGATACACCTTATCCAATTCATCTGCATTGATGGCTTACGCCCTTCTGCCATTGTTGCACTATAGCTGAAATGTGTTTTCTGTCGTGTTCTTGCCCTGTTGTTTGCTGTGTTTGTTTTGCAACAATTAAGCACTCCATGCTAACAACTGAGTAGGCACAGACATGTACATGACGGGAAACACAGTGTAGCTACAGTGCAGCAACGGCAGAAGTATGCAAGTATGTAGGTCAAAGCATATTCGAGATAATGTGTAACATAATGCAAGATGGATAATGCAAGATTCGATCAAAAAGTAACACAGAGAGGCTTGATGCAAGATGGCAGATATGGAACACCATACTCCCCATGCAACAGACTTAAAGTGCCATTTTTTTGCATTTTCACAGCCAGCATAACCTATTATCATCACAATGATGACATCACCTCCTTTCCACACAGAGGACACCCACTCTCATAACTCTACTTCTACACCCGATCCTGTTCACATCCCCTCCCCTTCGCCCAGATTGAAATGCCACTTTTCCCCCAGTGTGCTGTCAACACACAATGGACTCTCATTATACAAACTCGCTTATGATGAAATTCTATTCATAAGGAACAGAAATGATCATTCCTGACTAAATTTGCATGTTTCTGAGGGTAAATGTTCACGCAAAAGGGACGCAGATATTAAACACAAACGAATTTATCAACCCAGAAGCATGGGAAAGTTTTCTTTTTACTGCAAAGACAAGTTGTGCTTGTGTGTGCGAAAGTCGGTGCTCTGTTTACTCTGAAATTCACATACAAGGAGCATTTTGGCAATGTACCACAGGCTTCGCACTAACTAGAGTGGACTGGACTGATTTATCCATACGCTCTCCCCTCCCCATATTCTTATTCATGAATCCATGACTGACATGATATCTCTTTCTCTTTCTCGTCATTCCACTCATTTCAGTCGACCCTTGTCTCCCCACTAACCCATGTCAAAATGGCGCTCAGTGTACACTCTCCGTCGACGGCTTCAGTCCGCGGTGTACCTGCATCAATGGGTACAGTGGCTCATTCTGCGAGATAGGCAAGTTGATATTCATACTGTATTCCTACCAAACTTGAATCAGGGGCACCTGTGAAACCACATGATATAACCATGAGTTAACTTTTATCAGACTTCTTGCCTGCATGTGCGTGTCAGAGTTATGAATGATCTATATCCGAGTTAGACCGATGAAACTGTGGTCAAAGTGCCATCATGTGACCTCACCAGGGGTGCATTTGAGTAGCTTCCATATTTGGGTACCCGATGTGGGTATGGCCGCGTGCACCGTGTAAGCTGGACTACGGGACAGAGGTTGAACCCAAGTCAACTTGTGGAAGCTACTCGAACACGCACCCAGCCATTACCGTACATGCAGGCTTGTCATGTAAGAAAGCTCATCACGCTGGTCTTAAATATTTGAAAGAGTCAACGAGCCCAACCATTGTCAACTAGCACGTGAGTGAAGCAAAGAGTTGAGACAACAGCAGAGCAGTCAACACACAGTCTTGGGTCAGGATTTTTACCCAAGCAAAACTCTTTGATAGCAACGAGTGCACAATGCTTGAGCTAGGTAAAACTAAAGTCAAGAATTTTCCGTTTTGCGGAAAATCCATGAAAATCGTGGATTTCGGGGTAGAAAGCGGAAAACGCAATCCTCGGTAAACAAAATAAATAAATAAAACTAATAAATATTTTTGATCATTTCTCTACAATTAATCAAATAAATATGAACCACAATCAGAAATGACAACTCATTTTCACTGTTTAACTCATTTTGAAAGTAACATTTGGTAGCATTTCCCCTCCTGTTTTTCCTTTGCGATATTGCAGAAATTGGTATTGATTTCCTCCGGCTCCGCACCGCGGAGATCACACCGGTCCCCGTTCCCGACATATAGCCCAGACATCTCACGGCATATGAATAAATCAATGGGGATGGGGACCAGTCCAAGATCACAGTGGCATGGTGCGTGTAGGCCCTACATGTATCAATATGCCAAAGATACCTGTAGATGTACGGTAAATGTAGACCTACAGTACACGTACATATGTACAGTCACATACAGTTTTTGTACATGAAATTTAGAAAGCAGAAGAGAGCAGAATTTGACTTCCAGAAAACAGAAAATTCTTGACTTTAGGTAAAACTAGATGTTTGTCAAACTTGTGGTAGCTTTTGGACAGTCAGACTCCTTTTTCTTTTACTTTAAAAACTTTCTGTCTTCATTTCTTTGATCTTAAAAGTTTAGTTGATTCATACCAATTCAAAGTTCAAACGATGTTCTCCACAGGTATCTGCTCGTCTGCACCATGCCAGAACAACGGTATCTGTACACAAGTTGGCAGCTCATTTAGGTGTCAGTGTCCAGCAGACTTTACCGGGACCAGGTGTGAAACAAGTGAGTGAGAAGTCACCAGAACTTTTGGCGAACATTTCTTAAGATTTTGATCTCTAGCTGTTCTGTGGTGCCCTGTGAGACACCCCAGTGAATGGAAAAAGTGCCTTTGTTTGTCTTTCAGTGGATCAATCACATCTACTTCTGTAGGGAGTATGTATCCCACGCCAAGCGGCGGTCCGTAGAATGCCCTTTTCCGAAGTTTTCCGTGTATTTGCACTGAAGGTCTGGCTTCTTGAATGCTCAACACCTTGTCAGGATTTTTGCCTGTCCCTTTTCCCCTCTTCCCCTACAAATGTACGTCCACACCCTCTGACAAACTCCATGCGGATTCTTCTTCATTGAGCAAGGACGGATCCAGCATCAAGTTTTCAAGGGTGGGGGTCATCAAACTTGTCTAAGTTACCTTTGATAGCCTTTCTGAGGGTCAAGGCTTCATTATGGTGCTTTTTATGCACTTCTGGAAGGCAGGAAAAGGAATAAACCAACGAATGTTTGCGGGTCCAGTAAGCAACGATAATGTTCTGTAATCTGCATTGTGAGTCTGTTGGCACTGAAATGCACCATATAAATGTGCCATATAAATGTGCCATATAAATGCACCATATAAATGCGCCATATAAATGCGCCATATAAATGCACCATATAAATGCACCATATAAATGCACCATATAAATGCGCTATATAAATGTGCCATATAAATGCACCGTATAAATGCGCCGTATAAATGCACCATATAAATGCACCATATAAATGTGCCATATAAATGCGCCATATAAATGTGCCATATAAATGTGCCATATAAATGCGCCATATAAATGCGCCATATAAATGCGCCATATAAGTGTGCCATATAAATGTGCCATATTAATGTACCATATAAATGTGCCATATTATTAGTAAGCTCACCATTGCTTTTCATGTCAATTTCAATTCAGTCTCAGTGACATTCATTTTCTCCGGCAAAATACAGATGCTAACAATATATGAGAGAAAAAGGCCACTAGAGGTGGCAAAAGCAAAGCTTGTGTCAGGCATGCCATTACAAGAAACAAACAAGACAATACGGAACAAACTACCAACAGGGAAAATATTACACATATACAAAATGAGCATCAAATAAAAATAACAGTGAATGAGAGGGCTACAGCAAGGGGTCACATCTACTTGATTACACATCAAACTAGGACCCTGGAGACCGGGACGTGTTGTTGAAATGGCAAAAACCTATTGTTTAAATGCCCAGTTGTACAACCTCTCAGTTGAAAATGCCTCTCCTCTTGCCACCCCCCCTGCCCCAGATCTCAACAGCCTATGCAATAGCCAGCCCTGTAAGAATGGCGGATGGTGCTACGACGACGAATCCCGCGGCTACGTGTGCACCTGCTTAGTAGGTTACAGCGGGAGAGACTGCGAAGTTGGTAAGGCCCTGTAATTGTACCCTATTTAGGAACACCACCTGATGGTCGCAACCCTTGCTTTGCCGTATAAAGTGTGTCTCTGCTTAACGTGATTGCCGTGCATGGATGAGGGGGATGTCCCTTTGTTAACTGGTGACTGCAAGCATGCATTTTTATCACTGTTTTCTCAAAGGGACAGACGTGTCAAGTTTTTGACTAGCAATGCATTTTTAGGCAACCTCAAGATAAACTTCCCTTGTTTAAAATTTAAAGCCAAATGTGATTCTTTTGAAATTTGATGATGCACCAGTCATTAAAGTGAAATAATAAGTAATTTAGCACAAAGTAAAGAATAAAGACACCCATCTCTTTGTAAAAAAAACAAAAAAAGGACAAATTGAGTTGATCTACATTTCAACTCTTCTGCATTTTGTTTATTGCTGTAAGAATAGGGCCTTTTATTCACACGCCCGTTGCTGATAATTTAACAAAGACTGAACTTCCCTTTGTGAAATGTAAATTGTAACTTTCCTACATCTACACTCTTCCATGTGGTGGGGATTTGTGCTTGTTCAAGGGGCCAGTCAGACATCTTACCTAAATCATTCCAATTAATCACATTGACAGTTTGCACTTTACTCATGAAAAGTTGGGGAGGAACATTTTTGAATGAGAAAGCAGCTAGGACATATCCGTGCTCATTAGAAGTTTCTACCATTGCTGCTGCTCCTGGAGAGGTCGAGAATTTAACAGTCGACTTTCACGTTAGAGACCAAAATAAAGAAATTAGACAAAATACTGTGGGAAGAGTTAAACTCAGGGAGGGACTCAAATTTCACCCTTGGTGGGATTCGAACCTGGGTTTCAGCAATAGAACTCAAGGCAAGTTTCCCTTGTGCCGGACGAACACTGTGGACTCATGCTGGAAGCGTTCTGATTTGGCTGTGAGTGAATTCTGTGCCCATTTTTCTTTCCCAATATCAGGAGAGTTCTCGTGTAACCCAAATCCCTGCAAGAACAATGGTCTTTGCACCACTGAGCCTGGGTCCACTTACAAGTGCACATGCAGGGGAAGTTTTACCGGACGGAATTGTGATGTCTGTAAGTGATCTCGGTTTTTATATTGAGGATATTTCTGTTGGTTTTTGTTTTGTTGTAAAGTTTTCATTTTGATTTTGAGGCTCTGTATGCCCAGTTGGGTTTCGATAAGATTACTCTCAAAATGTTTACTCATTATAGCTTTACCGGTGATTTACAAATAGAATGCTTGTCATCATTTAGATCTTTTCAAACCAATGTTGTAGTTGAGACCATCACAAGACCAGAGACAGGACCATTTACAAGACCAGTTACAAGTAACAGGGTGAACAGTGAGAGGAATGCTTCTGGCGTAGTTCAGTCGACTAGCTTGTGACTTGAATTCAGACTAGGGATCTTGTGTTGGTCTTGAAGGGGTCCTGTGTTGGTCTGGTTGGGGTCTTGTGTTGGTCTGGTTGGGGTCTTGTTGTGATGGTCTTGTGATAGCCTTGAGGGGTCTTCTGATGGTCTTGTGAAGGTTCTTGTGATGGTCTTGAGGGGTCTTGTGATGGTTGTAATGGTCTTTTGATGTTTTTGAGGGGTGTTGTGATGGTCTTGAGGGGTCTTGTGATAGTTTTTTAGGGTCTTGTGATCCTCTTGTCGGTCTGCAACACTGACTCAAACTCTATTGGAGCATATACTGCTAAGAAAGATATTCTTTTATTTCTTAATCAACCCAAAACAAATTTTAAAAAGCAATGCTACTGTAAAACAAATTTTCTTGTTTTGCTCAAATGAAAAGATTAAAGTGGTATTGAGAAGGTGAAAATTTTTTTCCAGAAATAAAACTCTTTTCCCATATGAGAAGTTTGCCTTTACTGACATTAAGGGGTGAGTGGGTTTTTTAAATTTTGACAGTCATGGGCCCCCAGAGCTGCACGGTCAACGTATGCAGAAACGGCGGCACCTGCAGCATCAGCAACCAGGGGGTAGTTACCTGCACCTGTCCACCTCGTTACACTGGTGCCACCTGCCAAACACGTGAGTGCATGCTAATCTGAGGAGAAGCCAGATTGGCATCGGGTTGGGAGTCAGGTTTAGGTAGTGGTGTATTCCTTGCCTGTTACTGCCGTGGCCAAGGTTTGCTTCCTGGCACTGTCACATGAATTGGGTTTTCTGTGCCTACGTGATTCTGTGGGTTTTGTCAAGAATATTCCTCTGGGGTTTTCCTCCCACCTCTAAAACTGTAACTACTTCTCATTTTTTCCCCTCTACAAGTTTCTGCAGGCTTATGAGCCACAGTGCCTCCGGTACCTTCCAAGAGTCCTTGGTTTCATTACTAGAAATGTTTTTAAAGGGCCTAATAATATCAGGGTCACTACTGTGGTTGTGCCGCACTCTCACTTACCACATTTAAATTGAGTGTTGTCCGATCCCATGGCTCATGAGTTTGAAAATACTCATTAGCTTATAACCAAAAAGGCACCAGAACACCTTTTAAAAAGTTGGCCCAAAAATTCAATATGTTTAAAAGAAACTCAAAGATTCATTGTCAAGGGTTTTATTGAAAATGTGCATTTCACATATTCTTTAATCCATCCCTGGTGCTCGCTGTCATCAGTCACAATTGTGACCTCAGTTGCAAGTTTGCATGATATGGCCTCCACAACACTGTAACCAGGAGGTTGTGGAAGCACACTACCCTTCCCAACTTCTCGGATTTGTCTCCTCCCAACACCTGCCATTCCTTGCTTTTCTTCCATTCCTTCTCTTTGCAGAGATTCCCGTACCTCCTGGAGGTTCTGCTAGCACGGTTATGACCTCCTGGCTGCTGATAACGGGAGCGATGCTACTGGCCTGGCTTCTCCATTGGTAATCAGACAGAGGCTTGGATTGGTTGTAGTTGAGTGGGAGGGGGAGGAGCATGAGTCACCGGGGGGGGGAGTTTTTTGTTTGATTCTTTTCATGTATAAATCACTTGTTTTGCACTACTTAATCTATTAGAATTACATAGAACAATTTTCATATTCACTTCTGGGCAATTTCAGACCAGAAATTTTCAACGTATGACAGGATCGTAGCATAAGAATGTGACATGTTGATGTCAGGCTATAACCCTTCAAGATCAAAGTTGAGAGCAAGGTTGAAAGGAAGGCTGAAGAATAAACAGGGAAAATGACCTTTGGCTAAAATCAGCTGCTGTGGTGATCATTATTTTCCACACATTGTTGAATAATGGCTGTCCTTGTTTTTCTCAGTTTTTCTCGAATAGAGGTTTTACAGTTTGAAAATCTGCTGTCCCTGTAGTTTCCCTGCATTTTTTTCAAATTGTATGGATACAGAGGCTAACAAATCATATACAGAGGCTAACAAATTATAAAAGCCGGGAATGTTGCATAAAGGCTTCATAATTCTCAAATATTATTGGAAACTGGGACAATTTCTCAAAAAAGAATATAATGTATTATCATTTTAAGCAGATGTTGAGAATTGGTAGGCACTTTAATACATGTATCTCTATGCTGCCAATTTAGCTGAAATTTGACACAACTCGTTGAGTACTGATAGCTAGTAAAGGAAAATTTTATGATGAATGTAACATAAGAACTGCAAATATAACTCAGATTGCACATTTGTGCAAAATAAACTTCTTCCATGAAGCCTGCCTGCTGTGTTGATGTTACACATGTATTTGATAAATAGATGTCGCTCCTTGTTCGAAAGAGGGCTCCCTTCAGATAGACGTATCTGGAGCTGTGGTCGAGAGTTATTGTCCTAACGACAGTTCATTTTCATTCCATTGTATGATGTACATGAAAGCATGTAAAGGTGGTTACGTTGTGAAGAGAATAGTAAATAATTACCGCGTGTAGATGTACTAGGGTTAAAATTCACTGAATTGCTGGGGGGGGGGGGGTTTCATGAAGTTTCATCGAGTAAAAACTGATAGAAATGATGGAAATTATACCAGAGCTTCTCATTAGAGTTAATATTTGGTTTTGCATAACAATGTATTTTGGTAGTCAATATTCAGGGTTTTATGGTCCGTCGATAAAAAAAGAAAAAATTAATAACCGTCAATTAAAAAACATGTATGTTTGTACAGAGACTTTGTCTTTGATTCTTAATATATACTGATTTGGTAAAATGCTTTCAATGGTTAATAATTTGGAGTTTGTATATTTTTGCATAATCACAACTGATGTGTAGCATTGATATTCCATTCAAAAATGGACCGGTATCTAAACTTACAGTCAAACGGGACTGCAGGAGAAGAATTGGAATTGTATTAAATGGAATAGCTACAGGTTTGCAGACTAACATTATGATTAAGTCATCCCTTTGATGTCCAGTCGTCACTTTGGGTCCCTTTTATAAAAGGGGGCTAGACTGGCAAGCTTTGGCTACTTAAACGAACTGTCTTGCAACAGCTTAGCAACCCTACATAGTATATAACGAGGTTGGAGAGTCTGTTTTGCAAGTGCAGCCTCGCTCCTGAGGTTCTGTGCCAAACGACATACCACCGTTGGACGGGTATAGGGAGATTATGTGTCTCGTGTTTGAATGAATAGAATCAGATCACGCAATTACAAACACGTCGATGTTGTAGTCGACGAAAGCAACGACTGACTCGTCGGACTGAATGACAGTGACGTGTCTTGAATTTTGTATCGTTTGCTTATTTTGTTATTTGGTTGGAAATGTGTCAAGGTACTTTTTGGTTTTTTTATACAAAATATATATGCATTATTGTTTGTTAGATTTTTTGTAATCAACTGTATTAAAGTATAATTTTGACCAAACTGCTTTCTGGTGTTAATTTTTTAATTGTATTAATCCTCCATCATTTTATTATTATTATTTTTTATTTTTCACTGGCGTGGCCAAAAGCCAAATCCAGTGAAAAGTGCATCCATTAAAAAAAATTGAACAAGGTTCATTATTAAAAAATAACCAAGTTCGAATTAATTACAACCCATCAATACCAACTTAAAGGTAAAAATGGACAAACAGACATTCCAAATTACTGAAAAGCACACAAATTTCCCATTAAAAAACAGATTTGAATACATGTACTTGACAGAATACCATTTGAAAACCACGCTAATGACCGATTGATAATCAGACACATTAATATTGCATTGGGGAAGGATCAAATTATCCATCAAGTTAATTACCAAAATACGGCACATGGCTGTTTCTGAACCTGGAAGTCTTGGTTCGCAGCCGGGAAGCATGCATTTACGCAGGCTGCTGAAATGACACTCCAATCTGGTTGGAGGGCGGGGAGAAGGTCCTCAGGACGGTAAGTACCTCTCTTTGTGTGTCGCCGTCATTATGACGAACTGTATTTCGTAAGAACAGCTAACGTCGTGTCAGCACAGGCGAGAACGAAAATACACTTTATGACGGGATGGGAGAGAATAGATACTCGAAAGGCGCCCCCTGAAGTTTCCATGTGTGTTTTCTTCATTCTTGGTCAAAGCTTGATGGGTTTTGTCTCCTTGTTGCAGGAGATTATGCGGCGGTGAGATAAGTTCCAGTATCCCCTACCCAGCCCCGCCCCTCATCTACCATCATATAGTCCCCTTCTCCCTGTGTATTGGCTACACATCGCTTCACTCGGCAAACTTGGAACCATCCTCATCCCGTCCATGCCGGATAT